AAGAAAGAAAGAAAGAAAGAAAGAAAGAAAGAAAGAAAGAAAGAAAGAAAGAGAAAGAAAAAAAGAAAGAAAGAAAAAGAAAAAGAAAGAAAGAAAGAAAGAAAGAGAAAAGAAAGAAAGAGAAAAGAAAAAAAGAAGAAAGAAAGAAAGAAAGAAAGAAAGAAAGAAAGAAAGAAAGAAGAAAGAAAGAAAGAAAGAAAGAAAGAAAGAAAGAAAGAAAGAAAGAAAGAAAGAAAGAAAGGAAGGAAGGAAGGAAGGAAGGAAGGAAGGAAGGAAGAAGGAAGGAAGGAAGGAAGGAAGGAAGGAAGGAAGGAAGGAAGGAAGGGAGAGAGAGAGAAAGAAAGAAAGGAAGGAAGGAAGGAAGGAAGGAAGGAAGGAAGGAAGGAAGGAAGAAAGGAAGAAAGAAATGAAGAAAGGAAGAAAGGAAGAAAGAAAGAAAGAAAAAAGAAAGAAAGAAAATCAACTGGCCTGAGTGAAAAGGTTATTTCTAGAACCTCAATTCTGGTGCATTGATCTATGTGTTCATGCCAGGACCACACTGTCTTGATTACAAAGCTTTGCACCAAGTTTTGAAATCAACTAGTGTGAGGCTTCTAACTTCATTCTTTTCAAAGTTTGTTTTGGTTGTTCTGGGTCCTTTGTATTCACATATAGATTTTAAGATCAACGTGTCAGTTTCTGCTAAGGTCTGATAGAGATCGCACTAAATTTAGAGATTAATTTTTGGAAAACTGCTAGCTTCACAATATTGAGTCTTTGGGTCAATTTATTCAGACCGTCTTTACTCTGGGGAAAGCTTCGTAGATTTTAATGCACTGGTCTTGCAGTTATTTTGTTAAATTGACTCCTAAATATTTTATTCTCTTTGATGCAATTATGAATGGAATTGTTTTCTTAATTTTATTTCTGGCCTACTTCATTACTAATATGTAGAAATAAAATTGACTTTTGAGTATGGATCTTTCCAAACTTGTTCATTCATTCAGCAGGTTTTGCCGTTGTCCTTAGCATTTTCTACAGGGTCATGCTGTCTATTAGCAGACTGTTTTCCTTCTTCCTTTCCAGTCTGGATATCTTTCATTTCTTTTCTTGCCGGGGTAAACTAAACAGAAGCTCCTTGCCTGTTCCCAGTTTTCTAGGGGAAGCATTTGATCTTTCACCATTAAGTGCAATGTTAGCTGTAGGATTTGGCAGGGGGAGGAAGTGCTCTTCTCTCCCTAATTTTTGAGAATACTTATTATGAATGGGTGTTGGGGTTTTTAAAATTTTTTTTAAGATTTTATTTATTTATTTGACAGAGAGAGAGAGACAGTGAGAGAGGGAGCACAAGCAGAGGGAGTGGGAGAGGGAGAAGCAGGCTTCCTGCCGAGCAGGGAGCCTGATGCGGGGCTTGATCCCAGGACCCTGGGACCAAGACCTGAGCCGAAGACAGACACTTAATGACTGAGCCACCCAGGCGCCCTGGGTGTTGGGTTTTATCAAATGCTTTTTCTGCATATATTGAAATGATTGGGTAGTTTTTGTGCTTTGTTGTATTAATATGGTGTGTAACATTGATTTTTGGATGTTAAACCAACCTTGTATTCCTGGAATAAATCCTACTTGGTCACGATATACAACCCTTTTTATATGTTGCTGAATTGCTTGCTAATGTTTTGTAGAGAATTTTTGCATTTATATTAGTAGGAGACATTGGTCTGTAGTTTCTTGTGATGCCTCTGTCTGGTTTTGGTATCCGGTTAATGCTGGCCTCGTAGAATGAATTGGGGAGTGTGTCCTCCTTTTTATTTTCTGGAAGAGTTCGTGAAGAATTGGTGTTAATTCTTCTTTAAATGTTGGGTAGAATTCACCAGTAAAAGCCTGGGCTTTCTGGGGGGATGGGGGCATGGAGAACGGAGGAAGGTCTTCAAGTCACTATTCCAGTTTCCTTACAGGCATATTCATATTTTCTGTTTCTTCTTGCATCAGTTTTGGGAATTTGTATCTTTTTAAGAATTTGTCCATTTCATCTAAACTGTTTCATTTATTGACATAAAGTTGTTCATAATATTCCCTTATGATCCTTTTGATTTCTGTAAGGTCAGTAGTGATGTCCCCTCTTCTATTTCTTTTTTTCCAATTTTTTTTTAAAGATATCATTTTGGGAATGCCTGGGTGGCTCAGTCGGTTAAGTGTCTGCCTTCAGCTCAGGTCATGATCCCAGGTCCTGGGATCGAGCCCCACATCGGGCTCCTTGCTCAGTGGGGAGCCTGCTTCTCCCTCTCCCACTCCCCCTGCTTGTGTTCCCTCTTTCGCTGTGTCTCTGTCAAATAAATAAAATCTTTTTTAAAAAAGTATTTTTTAATTTCCCTGTGATTTGTCGAATCCTGGTTCACCTAAAAATGTATTGCTTTAATTTCCCAAATATTTATGGATTTCCAAAATCTTTCTTCTTTTTCTTTTTAATTTGCTACTTAAAAAAAAGATTTATTCATTTATTTGAGAGAGAAAGAGGGAGTGTGTGTGGGGGGAGAGGCAGAGGGCGAGGCTCTTAAACAGACTCCCTGCCTAGCACAGAGCCCAACACAGGGCTTGATCCCATGACCCATGAGATCACTACCCCAGCCAAAACCAGGAGCTGAACGCCCAACCAACCGAGCCACCCAGAACCCCCTTTCCTCTTTTTATTTCTAGTTTTATTCCATTATGATTAAAATATATTGCACGACTTCAGGTATTTTAAATCTATATAGGCTTGTTTCATGGACTAGCATGTGTTTTATGCTGGAGAATGTTCCATATACAGGGGAGAAGAACGTATCACCTGCTGTGGTTGGGTAGAGTGTTGTATAGGTGCCAGTTAGGTCAGATCGGCTCCTAGCATCGTTCAAGGCTTCTTAACCCTTTCTGATATTCTGCCTACTTGTTATAGCCATTATCGAGAGTGGGATATTAAATATTATTTTTGAATTATCTATTTCTCTCGTCATTTCTGTAAGTTTTAAAAACAGATTTTAGGGGTGCCTGGGTGGCTCAGTTGTTAGGCGTCTGCCTTCGGCTCAGGTCATGATCCCAAGGTCCTGAGATTGAGCTCTGCATCCGGCTCCCTGCTTGGCAGGGAGTCTGCTTCTCCCTCTCCCTCTGCTCTTCTGCCCTGTTTGTGCTCTCTCTCACTCTATCTAAATAAAATCTTAAAAAACAAAAATAAAATAAAAACATCTTATTTATTTATTTGAGGAAGAGAGAGCATGGGACCATGAGTGGGGGGTGGGGAGAGGAGGCAGAGGGAGGAGAATCTCAAGCAGACTCCACGCTGAGCATGGGGCCCGACCTGGGACTCGACCTCACGACCCTGAGATCACGACCTGAACCAAAACCAAGAGTCAGATGCCTAACCGACTGAGCCACCCAGGCTCTCCTATTTCTGTAAATTTTTGCTTCATGTGTTTTGGGGCTCTGTTGTTAGGTGCATATTTGTTTTGTTATACTGGAAAATGATTTACCATGAGAACAACATCCACGAGTGAACTGGAGTGTTTACACTCCTATCAGATGAGATCGACTTTAAGACAAAGCAATGTTACTTGAGGCAGAGTTGCACCACCGCCCGTCAGAATTTTGAAGGTGTGCTTTTGCTTTCTGGTATCAGGGTGATGATGGGTGTGGCCGGTCTGCTTCTCCTCTCTGAATTACCTTGAGACTTTTGCTCATCCTTGGAACTCGGAAATCCTACAAGGATGTGTCTAGCAGCGGGTTTTGCTCATCCATCCTCCATGGCCTGAAACCAGGTTTTCAGCTACCAAATTTCTTCTGTTAGGCTCCAGTGATTTTCTCTCTTCTACCTCCCTCTTCTTCTTGCGTAATTGACCCCCAAGGCTTCCAAGTACAGCCTTTTTGACCAGCAGCGTAGCAGCACCCCTGGGGAGAAGTAGGAATTTCAGAACCCCAGGCTTCACCCCAGAACCCCAGAGTCAGAATCTGCATTTTTAAAAGGATTTTATTTATTTATTTGACAGAGACACAGTGAGAGAGGGAACACAATCAGGGGGAATGGGAGAGGGAGAAGCAGGCTTCCTGCGGAGCAAGGAGTCCGATGCGGGGCTCGATTCCAGGACCCTGGGATCATGATCTGAGCCAAAGGCAGACGCCTAACGACTGAGCCGCCCAGGCGCCCCCCAGAATCTACGTTTTAAGAAATCTGCAGGTGGTCTGCCTGCGCTGGGATGGGGCTCTTAATCTTTTCTTTCGTGGTACCTTTCTGCCACCACCCCCCCTTTTGTTTCTTGCTCCGTATTCTGGCAGATTTCCATTACTTTGTCCTTCCAGATTAATTACCGAGATGTTGTCAGCAATCGTATTTTTAATATCCAAGAGCCTCTCTTGTTTGTCTTCTTTTATAGCAATCTGTTCTTATTTAGTAGATCCAATACCGCCTTGAATCTCTTAGGGCATTTAATCCCACTGATCCTGGATTCTGTTGGCAGAGGCACTGCTCTCCTTGCTTACGGGGGTCTCTCTCTTCCAGCTGCTGGCCTCCTTCACCCCCGAGGCAGCCTTGGTTGAACCCTCCCGGGTCAGGAAGAGTGGGCCAGGCCTTCCCAGGGGGCTGCTGGGCAGCTTGTCTGTTGGCCCCACGGTCTCTCCTGACTGGAAGGGCTGCAGGAGGCTGCTGCCTGAGGCTGCTGCCTGAGGCTGCACAGTCCCGAAATGCCGGGGCAAAGGGGACATGGAGATAAGCTGCCAGGAAGGTCTTGCTGCCCAGCCGCGGGGAGTGTGGTCGGCACACAGCCCCAGCCAGCAGCTCCTTCGGGGTCAGCCTCACCCGCAAGGAGCCAGGTCACACACAGTCCCACCCTCCCAGACACCCAGGGAGTCCAGTGAAGGTACAAAAGCCCGACCAAGGCTCGGCAGGCTGCCACTGGGAGCTGACTCCCCCTCCCCGATCCACCCAGGGTTGAAGCCCAAGCCTGTCCTGTATCCCAAACTCCACCTCACAATCGGTTCGGGAGGACCCCAGCTGGCACGGCAGCTCCCTGGAGGGGTCTGGGAGAGTGGGCAGTAGGACGGGGCTTGGGGTCTGGGTCGGGCCCACCCGGCTAGCAGTGAGGATCCTTGCACTGGTGGGCACTGGAGTGGACAGCCCCTGGCCCGAGGCACCCGTGCGGCGGTCAAAGCTTGCACGGGGACGGATCAACTGATGGCTAGTGCTAAGCCCACGCCTCACGTTTGACAGGAAGATAATGAACACCTGGGGGCCAGGAGCAGGCCACGGAATGCCAGGCGGGACCCCCGGTCACTCACACAGACGACCTCATCCCCTGCAGGGGTGGTGCAAAGAGCCCAAGCCTTAGTACTCGGGACAACCGGACCCCAAGGGCTGTTAGCCTGAGCCAAGGCAGGCCTGTTGAGCCAGTGTCAGGGGCCGGGATGGGGAGCCTGGGGCTGCACACGTAGGGTGGGGATGCCCCAAAAGCTTGACATCCAGACTCTTCTAAACCTTCTGAGCCTGCAGACACGGCCCCCACCCACCCCAAGGGAGACGACGCAGACGTTTCGCTTCCTCCCGAGATCATGTCTCAAGCACCTTCCCCTCTCTCCCCCATGAGGCCTTTGCGCCGGAGTCCAGCAGAGCCCAGCCTGTCAGGTTTGCACCTGGAGAAAAGAGACCCTGACTGAGAAGCCTCAGGATCCTGCCAGCAGCCGTGAGGGGAACAGGGGCCAGGCTGTGGGAGCGGATGCTTGGGGCGTCTGGCGGGGGGCCACAAGATCACCAGACAGGGAAGATCCTGCCCTTGGGAGATCTCTCGAGAGGCCGGATTCCAACCTTCAGAAGGACCCTGAGGACGGGGCTGGAGCTCGCCGGGAGCTGTGGGGTAGAGGCCACTGTGGTCCTGGCAGAAAGCAGTGAGAGGAAAGAGGCTCAGCACAGCCGGGAGGGGGGATGGGGGGGAAGCCTGGATGCGAGGGCCACCAGCTCAGGTGGGGTCCCCGTGACCAGCCCACCGTACAGCGTAGGAAGCAACATGAGTGGGAAAAGGCACCACGTGGAGTGTGTGGCCCCAGGGGAGTCGAGCAGGCTGTAACTGAGCAAGGCCGCCATGCCAGTGGCAGGGCACTGGTGTCCTTGAGAAACAGCACCGGGGCCTGGCCGAGACACACCAGCGAGAGCAACCCCTAGCAAAGAAGGATGTGGCTCTCCAAGACTCAAGGCAGGAATGGTCAGGAAATTTCCAAATTCCTAGACCTTCTGGAAGGATGACAGGTTCCAAGCTGAAACTGTAGAAAGAGAGAAGAAAGAGAACTGGAGGCCCCAACTGGGAGCTGGGACTCTCTCCCCATCTGCCTCAGGGTGCTCCCTTCACTGGTCCCTCAGTCAGAGGGGAGCCAGGATGTGCCCGGACACCACAGGGGCCCCCTCTCCCCCAGCAGCCAGTCTGGGCCCAGGTCAGGGGCCAGAGCCGCAGAACCACCCCTGTCCCGGGCTGCGGGGGGGCGGGGGGGGGGTCAGCCGGCCCCGCTCCCCACGCTGTCGCCGAACAGCACGGCCCCAGGCTACAGGGGGAAGGGGGTCATTCGGCCCCACTCTGCACACCATCCCTGGCCTGCACAACCTCCAGGCTCCGCCCGGGCCCCGCCTGCCCGGTGCTGGGACACAACTGGGCTGGGGTCCAGCACTTGGCTGCAGGCTGGGAACCCAGGGCCCCAGGACAGGCCCGGACTGAGCAGGGAGGACCTCACATTCTTGCAAGACGGTCACTGTGGCAACCAGCATGGTGACAATGACTATCCACTGTGTCACACCACCGCAATGGTAGAGGCCTGCCTGCAACTCCAGGGGTGAGTTCCGGCCCCCACAAATCCTGGATGAAAACGAGGCCAGGGCTCTGCAGCTCTGACTCAATCCCAGAACTGCCAACCCTGGGGCCTGAGGGGC